ATGGCTTTTATATCATGTTACTTAGCAATAAAAGTATAACCTAAGATTGTTGTTAGTCTGTGTACTGAAAGTATAAAATGAAATGTATAGACAACAAAATTGGAAAAAATATTTCTTGATTTTTTAATTTAGAGTCTCCGTTGGTTAAAGAGGTTCGTTTTTTTTTATTATTAAAAACGTTGGTGATATAACAGAAAATAGCTTAATCCAGAAACGATTTAAGTTTAAAATTGAATCGATATTTTTACTTTCATGATAAATTTTATTCACTTGGCTCTAAGCTATTTGATCCCACACTACGTCTTTACTTTAGGCTTATTATACCAACACTCACTACACTTATAAGGTTTCACGGCACCCTTGCACTCCCGTCACTAAAATCGTAATGGGCAGATAGTAATCGAACTATTCTATCTGGATAAATGTATTTTGGCACTTATGACTCTTCCTATTTCGAGAAATCAAGTGTGAGGTGACGTGACACACACTGGCTTTTATATAGGTTAGGTTCAGATGTTTTGCAAAAACTGTAGTGTATGCTATGCAGAATAAATATAACATTGTAAAACAAAAAAAAAGGGATTTTCAGAGGACTGGGGGACTTTTTATTTGTTTTTTTTAGCGCAAAGCCACACATTGAGCTATGTACACTCTGCCTACCGCGAGGACTCGAACCCCGGAATGTAGTGTTGTAAGTCCATATACATACTGTTGACCCCCGGGGGACTATAAAACAGTGGGAAATAAATGATTATAGTTCAAGAGCTTATGTTAAGGTTTTTTGTGTAACTTTGTTCATTTGTTTGTAGACACTTTAGAGCACCAATACCATCAGCCCCCCCAGTTGCACAGCGGTATGTCTGCGGACTTACAACGCTAGAATCCGGGTTTAGATACTCGTGGTGGACAGAGCACAGATAGCCCATTGTGTAGCTTTGTGCGTAACTTTAAACAAACAAACCAATACCATCAGACTGTTCAGTGGCGACCAAGAAGCAATATCACTGATTCGCAGAAACGTGAATTAAAAATCATGTTAATATCTGTATTTCTGTATGCCATTGATACCCAGGTTTTGAAAGCGTCGTTAGATCTGGTGTCTCTTACTAGATCAGTCGATCGGTTTGTCACGTTTGATCAGACCAGTGAACTTAAAGTGTCTTTTGTACTTGAGGTGTTTGGTGGGTATCACGTGTTGTGGAATAGGTTTAACTGACCTTGATTTATCCTTCCAGTCATTGAGACGCCCCACACAGCTATCAGATTCGTTCAGAATTACTTACTTAACCTCATAAGTGAATAGTCTAGGCAGGTGGGCCTGGCCTGGTAGTTAGGGCGCTCGATTCGCAATCTGCGGATCGCAGGTTCGAATCTCCGTCACCTAACATGCTCACCCTTTCAACCGTGGAGACGTTATAATGTGACGGTTGGTAAAAGAGTTGGCGGTTATGATGTTGACTAGCTAGCTGCCTTCCCTGCTTTCACTGCTACATCAGGGTCTACAAGCGCAGATAGACATCGAGTAGCTGTGCGCGAAATTCAAAACGAAACAAACCAGTCTAGGTAGCATTATACAATACACAAACAACTACACGAAATAGAACAATTTTGTAACAAACGGGGCATTAAAATAAACACCTATAAAATACAGGCAATATTATTCACAAAATCAACAAAACCCCCTAATATATCTAGATGGGACAATCCTCGAAGTCGCCACAGCTGCAAAGAAAATTCTTAGGATTAACTTACGATTCAAAATTAACGTGGTGTAAACATATTGACAGTAATAAATATCGGATGCGGCTTAGAGCGAGGTAACAATCAAGAAGTTTCACTGGACACTCCACTCAAAGTATATAAAACACATGTTAGTCATAGAATACGCCTGCACATCATGCTTGAACGTTTCTAACACACAGGTGAAACATCTACAGAAAACACAAAACTTTATACTCACAAAAGTGTATAAGGTTTAACCTTTTTGCGTACATACTCAATCACCCCTCAGTTATCTGTCAGACTTTTTTGAAAACTCGCTCAAATATTATAAGAAAAATTAAAATAAAAACTACCTGATGAACAACTTATATTATGCATGATGGAGAGGATCATAAGTACCTCTCCCTATTAAACAAACTAAATAACATTATTAAAACGGCCACTTAGTACTAGGGGTAACTAGGCATTACAGATTTTTTCTGATACATTTATAATTTTATTTTAAAAGGGTTTTATTTAATGTGTACTAAAATAAGTTGAATTTTATATATTACATTATTACTGCAGTGGACTGTAGTGTGAACGTCGGCTTTGTTCAAACCTACATCAGCGATTTGTGTGATGTAAGTATGTAAAATTTATTATATCAGCCCATAATAAGGGCAATGCGAAGTCTTATTTACGGACGCTAAATAAATAAGTCTACCATTGCGTAACTGTGGGAAGTATCACCGGAAAAAATAAATAAAACTTCAGCAACCTGCACACATCACCATTAGTGCAGAGCTCGTGGAGACATCTTGCATTGTCAACTCCATCAAACTACAATACCGAGAAGCAGAAGTCTTCAACAATAAAAAAGTATCGAAATAACCTTAGAAGAAAAACAAATTAAACATGTAATCTGAAACATCTGACACAACTGTAAAAATAACAAAAGTAAAAGAGCAAAAACCTACTCTTGGGGGTGCGAAGAGGTGGAAGGTGTACCTGAGCCTCCCGGGCCCCAAAAAATCGAACCTAAAAATCCGATACAGCGTATGAAATGAGTAGGTCACTTAACTGTAGGGCAGCAGAAGTGATCCTGATTGGTTTTACATTTTATAAACTTCGTGCGTTCAAATACAAAAAAGACCACGTTTTGTACGCCAAGTACCAGTTTTTTGTGTAGTATTAAATTCTTGAACTATATAAAAATATAAGATTTGTGAGTCAGAAATAAATATTTGGTTATAGTTGTTTCAAAACTTCTTTTCTTGTTCTGTTTAATAAAGTATTCATTTACCACAGTATAAAGGTAACTTTTAAACAAAAACTCATAAAGACCAATTTGCTTTAGAATTTCTTTTACTGCATATTTTTTTTTGCTAATAATTTTTTTCTGATTCTATTGACACACGTTTTACACTCTTGTAAGAATTATATCAACCAGAGAATGTTATTATGAAAGGCAAGAAAATCTAGCTTTACATCTGGTGTATCTTACATTATGTTACATTATGTGTTACATGTATATGAATTATATACATGTATATGAATCACTGAGATAATACCTAATATTTACAAATTTATGTAAATAAAAATTATCGTGAACCAAAAAGTTTGTATCTGAACTTTACAGTCACAATAAATTCATTGGCAGTTAAATTCTTATACCGAAACAGATAGTTTATTCGACGACGATGGTTACAAGAAATAAAACTTTATCATGTGACTTTCACTAGTTACGTCAAGGACTGTTAAATTCCCGCCAAGGTCGGTACAGATCAAGAGCCTTCACGGCTCAAACATCTTAAGACCAATTTGACTTCCTTTCCAATATCAAAAGAACTGTGTTACAATTGCACAATGTTGATAATTGGTCATGCTTCATGCCCAGTTGGCGCTGTAAATTGCTCCGAGAATGCCATAAGGTGTCACTTGTGTGATGCTTAGAGCAATAGCATTGTGGGAACAATACCTTTATATTCCACACAACTGTTGCCTAACACATCTCTGAAAGTTTATTCAGGGTAAACCTTTAGAAGTTGGCAATTTTGTGGTTTCTATACATGTTTAAAGTGTACTAGAAGTAGAGGTTACTATTGCCTTTGCTTTCTGTGTGTGTAAACTAATAGGCAACCCAAGACCTTATCGTTGTTATTTCATGCTTACATGATCAAGGATTTCATTAGGATGAGATTCTTGTCTTAATTATTGTGTTTTCTGCACGATTATGCCACGAACTACGCAAAATACTTCTAACTTAATCATATATTTTATTGCATCTTTTAGTCTTAAGAGTAAGGTGCAAGTATATATTATATATATCCTGCTGGGAAAGATAAATCCTTCAGTTCTTTCAATCCAGTGTACAAATTGTTTGAGAGAATTTAATTTTTCTGTACTATTCATTAGCTATTGATTTACAATTGTGAGTGAACCAGTTTTTCTTTTTATCATATACTTATATATACGATGATATACGCATACGCAGTGAAAGTGAAAATAATCCAGATATTTGGAAAGAAACACAATTACGGCTTTTGTACAAATTTAAAACTTAAACATATAATTCAGAAGTATTATAACTCAAGAGTTTACTCGGAAACTTCTTTGTTCGGTTGTCAATTATCTTATTGTTTTCCACAAACCTAAATTTTTTCACAGATTTTTACGGTTAGAAGACAGGTTTTTGTATCATAATGGTGATCTTATACATACTAAATAGAACTGCCCATTTTCTCTCTAAAAAACAGATCAAAATATGTGAACATTTGGCTGTAATCTGAGGTTAGTAATAGGTTTGAATCGTATTCTTCGAATATAGTGGTTCTTAACAATGAACATAAAATATTGTTCATTGTCGACCGTTCATTCGTAGAAAATATGCAAAACGACGAAAAATGGGGATGGGGAATGTATCGCTATATACAGAGATGCTGTTGGGGTTTATTTAACCCTCATTCATGGTTCATGAGCGTTAACTTGTATAAAGAATAAACTGTTCATCAGAAAGTCACCAAGGTCAGAACTTAATGTTCTTCCTGCGTTTATCCACAGATCCAAGAACGTGTTATATTCACCATCTGTTGTAAAAGAGATGACTGTAAGTAAATTAGAAGAAGTGCTTTAAGTAAACGCACTAACTAATTATATGGCGATCATTTCAACTAAACTCGTCGTTCCACCCTGAAGATTATTAACACACGAGCTCCTACAGAATGTATGATTCAAACATTTAACGTTTTAAATCACTGTATTTTACTATAGCGCTATTTATTTCTTCTTTTCAACAGATGTAAGGAGAAGACCACCTGCCACAAGCGTATATAAGGTGAGTGTACATTCCTTTTATTTGGTGTTAGATTGTAGCACTTTGGTATTGAGAATATGGACGAATTCATATGTAGTAAACCAGCGTATCCCAAAGTGTAGGGTCCGGCATGGTCAGGTGGTTAGGGCGCTCGACTCGCAATCTGAGGGTCGTGGGTTCGTATCCCCATCCCACCAAACATGCTTGCCCTTTCAGACGTTATAATGTGATGGTTTGGGATAACGAACCTGGCACTTTTTATCAATGTGCAGAACAATTTGAAATATAGCTGTGACATTATTTTGCTCAATTTCTTGTTTATTATACAAGCATGGAACACAATCAGTACAAAGAAACTAAAAAATCAAAATTAATTTTTCCATCACCAGTCCTTGTTGTGATCCCTAAAATTCATAACGGATAATACGTGTATATATAAACCGAGATGCATATTATAAGAGTGACAAAAAAGCTGTCCATTGCTAGTTCCTGTTATTATCCTTTATCTCGTAATGGATAATGTCTGGATCATAGCACCCAAAGGCGTCAGGGATATTCCATCTGTCAGACATAATCCAAACGCATATGTCAAACTAGTTAGCCGTTACGGAAGATCAAATTAGGGACCATCAGTTGAGCGCTTTGACCCACAACGTCTCAACTCCTACTGCCTTTCGCTGTCTGTAGCCAGTTGTCAGAAGGCAGTCACCCATAATATGTTGACGTAAATTACAGGTGTTAAAATAACCTTGTAGTAGAATTCAGCCACCCCATATTTCTACATTTTTATGATTCCCAACCTCCATCATATTATTTTGCACACACACACATTCGTAGCACCCCTCCATTTTGGTATAACCCATACCCTAGGGAAGTGATAGCACAAGATCATGTAGATCATAACTGTGTGATATAAACAGCCTCAGCCTAAGGCGAAAATTGTCGCAAATTTATGACTACTTGCATCCTGTTCACAAGAAAGTTACCTAACTACAGAACACGTACACAAACATATTTTCAAAACATATTACTAAGTATATCTGAATAAAGATATTGTTATTCAAATATAATAGTTTTCAAGTACTGAATCTGTATTCAAGATAAGAACTTTTTGCTTTTAGTACATAAAACCCATTAAATTACTTTTGCGATTTCTGATCTTCCTGACTATTATTTTGCGAAACCAAGGTCAGGGGAACGTACTTTAACAGACCACTTAAAATACTTGTATCATTTCATTATACAACTATATAGTCTTTAATTCTGAAAATGTGCTTATTTAAAGGTCAATAAGAATGTGGAATTAGTATGATTTTTACATTTATCTATTTTTGATTGAGCACACTCCTCCTTATCATTAACCATTTATTGTGTGCTAATTGATTTCTAGCCGCGGCATAGCGGCTCAAAGAATGTCTCTTGAATTTTTTTTCAAGTACAAACTTTTAGCTCATAGCTCCGTCATATCTTGACCGATTTGATATCTAATTACAGTTTTGGACTCAGGAGGTAAAACCCTTTCGATTGATGTATTTGACCACGCCCAGGGTATCATAGATTAATTTACTCTAATCCTCCCTAAAAGAATTCGAAGTACTGCAGGTATTTTGTTTTTGTTTTTTCAGAAAAATAAGTGACATGATAGGAAGAATCAGTGATTTTGGTTAATTTGTAACATGAAGATAACAAACCCATAGAGAGCCTATTTGCTACGTCTAACATTTCTGTATTTTTACATGTGAAAATATTTAGTTTTGAATTCCGATGAAAACTTGTTGGTATTTTCTATAGTTCAGGATTTAAAATGCTTTTCATCAACTTTAGTGTTTAAGTCATTTCTTATCCCCCCTAAATTAAATTATATGCTGGAGCTAAGAGACAATGAAATATGGCTCATTTATCATCCAGAAACTTCCCTAAGCACATTTAAATGATTTATAATGCATCCCCATCACCGAACATGCTCGCCCTTTCAACCATGAGGACGTTATATTGTGACAGTCAATCCTATTGTTCGTTGGTAAAAGAGTATCCCAAGAGTTAGCAGTGGGTAGTGTTGTACGGCTGCCTTTCCTCTAGTGTATGACTGCTGAGTTAGGGACAGTTAGCGCAGGTAGCCCTCGTGTTTCTTTGCGCGAAATTCAAAACAAACCAAGCGTACTATATACATATCTGCCTCTTAAACCTGATTTCTGATCAAATATAGCATCGTATTTTGCACCTATAAAAACATGTAAATGTGATCCATACAAGAGATTTGTTTAACTATTTTTGGCAGCGATATTAGCTCAACGTTCATGTATGTTTTTTTTTCACACAAATACTTGATGTTGCATCGAACTTTGATTCGTTTTAAGTTACAACGCTAAAATCAGGGGTTGGATTCCTCTCGGTGAACAAGCAGATAGCTCGATGTGGCTTTGCTATAAAAAAACACACAATGCAGAACACTGCTGGCATGTGAGTCTTGTCCAACCACCAATACAGATCACCTACAAGGGAAGTAGAAGCATCTAATGGATCCCACGCAAGATTCCATTGGTCATGTAGAGCCCACTGAAGATACCTCATATTCACAAACACACACTCGTTTTAAGTTAGAATATGAATGCAGTCTCTATGATTCTGGCCCTTTCTGTAAACTCCACATGCTCTACCGTATCCACCATGTGCCTTTACGCGTTTGTTTGGCTGCAATATATGGTACTCCTATTTCTGCCTTACATGTTCTGGCTTCAAAGGCTCCTCTAACTCTTCGTAGACGGTACGTGTCTCATTGGTCGACATAAATATAAATTATATCATCTGACAGGAAAATTTGTAATATTTTGTTGAAGATATTTCTTGATCGCTATTGATGGAACACATTATTCTTTTCTGTTCGTTCGAATATTTTGTTTCAAGGATATTTTAAGCAGTATGGACTGCTCCTGAGAACAATGGATCATCAGTCCAAGCTTCTTAATGGACTTTTATTTCTTTCTTTGATCACGAGCAGACGAATGTGTAGATGTGCTGTAAAGTATCAGTTTGTTCCATGCATAGGTATCCTGCTACTCGCAAATCAAACTGAATAATGAAAGCAGACCTAAACTACTTTCGGCATTTCAGTGAACATGTATGAATTTCATATCATGATACTCAGCCTACATAATACTTCAACTACTGTTTTTCTATTCTGATAAAGGCTGATACCCATTTTATGTAGATTGAAAAATGTGAACAACCAAATTCAACACTAAAATTAGCTTTGGTTAAGGCTTCACTGTTAGCTTACTCTCAGCGAAATTTGTCAATTCTTTCTAAACCATGACTCAAAAGTGGATTCAAACATGAACATGCAGTACTGCACAATGTGAACCAATAATCGCTAAAATGGCTGGTGAATTGACCTTCAAAACTTAGAAAATATGATTACACATTGGATTATAATAATATAGGAATACAAATTTATTGTATAGCATTGTGCTGAATATCTGGATCTTGGACATTGCTGCAGGGGTGATAATGAATCATACAACAAGTGATTATTTCACTAATTGATGGACTCTACAAATGACGCATCAGTAGATTTTGGAGATGCAACTGAAGAACTATCTTGCCGAATAGTAAGGTGAGCTAGAACATGGACTCACTAAAACTTTGATACTCGAATAAACACTTACGAGAGCATGATAGTGTGCTGTGAATCACATAAACTAAGTATATAATCAATGATACAGCCGTTGATCCCTAAGAACTTTGATAAAGAACATATTTCGACTTTACATGCTACAAAAACTGGTGGTTACCAAACGTTTCATGCACTACTACCAACATGTGAAAATGACTATTATGTTCTTGTCGGTGTCAAGACATTGAAAGGTGGTCAGAATACTGTATTGTGTGTACTACCATAAGATAAATCGATCTTGCCAGGGAGAATCCTGTTAGAGTTATAGGTTCTTTTTCTTCAGACAATAGTCGTAAATACAATTGGTCATGACCTTTAGACAGCTCAGTCCATCAGGCTACGAGTCGCATGGTCATGGGGTAAATAAAAGCATTTTGAACATGTTGATAAGCTAAAACTATAAGTTAATAATGGTAATTATGTACACTGGATGGACCAGGGATGAAAAGATAAGGTGATAAGTGATTCAGCAGACAGTTAGAGCATATTTCACGTGTTCTTGATCCAGCTAATGACAAGAAGGTTGCTACACAGACTTTTATGGCTGTTCACAGTAAGTCAGAGGAGAAAGAGACAATAGTAGAACAGTTTACCTGTCTGGGAACTTAGCTGACCATCATATTGACCTCCAAGTTGATACGGCTGGATATAAACTGTTCAGCTGTGAGGGTGACTTTAAACTGCAGGTTACAAATGAGGAAACTGAAAGCCAAATGAACTAACTATCATTTAGATTCCAAGCTAGGAAATGAATTTGTGCAGTGATTCTACGAGCAAGCCATCTGAAGCCACAAATAGTGTGGAGAATCGCACCTGTTTCTTTTCTAGTATTTCAGTTTATTTGATAATCTCTCTTGATTATCCATGAGTATCAAGACTTCGTGAACATTTACATATATGAGCCTCGTGCCCCAAACATTGGGAAGGCAACTTGAAACTGATGAAATCCCTTTCTCTCAGGTCATTCAGAAAACTTAATAGCTTAGCTAGTTTGTATTCATCTTGTATTTTCCTGACTTGAAGGCGTAGAGAACATTTACCAAATAGTTTCAAATCTAATGGACGTAGTAATTATTCTGGTTTGTTGTGGTTATATCGCCTCATTTATAAACAGTTACTGAAGATAACCAGACAGGTTACTTGTGTTTGGATTCCTGGTCGCGATGATTTTGGAATGATATTGTAGACAGATCTGCCAAAGCTGCAGTTTCTCTAGCTTGTCCAACTGTTAGCCTTCCTTTGAGTACTTCGTTTAGTCAAAGGATTTTAATAAGAAACTCAAATCCACACGAACTTTGTGTTAGGCTAACTTCATGACTGTTCGCTTAAACGTGCGGTTTCTTTCCCTATCCTATGGCTATGGTACGATAATGTCAGGAATGATTGAAGTTAGGAATTTACAGGATAACTTGCACTTTACATAAGATCGGTTTGACTCACTCCTAATATTATCTTTATTGTAAAACCACTGTAGACAATTGAACATATTCTTTTTGTTCTGCTTATGCAAAAATACGTTTATCCATAAAAGAAACCCTTTCGAGCTTCCAATTACTATTCATTGCTTATTCTATTAGTTCCACTTACATAATTCCTCATGTTGTACCTACGTTTTCTTTCTCAAGTATTCCTCCCTCGTAAACCACCAGTAATACAATTAATCGATTATTTTCTCGAGGTCATTTAATACCGGGCAGGTCAATTATTGGACTTACTCTCTTGGGCCGCATAAAACTAGGCCTGGCATGGCCAGGTGGTTGGGAAGCTCGACTCGCAATCTACGGGTCGTGGGTTCGAATCCCCGTCCCACCAAATATGTTCGCCCTTTCAGCCGTGGGGGTGTTATAATGTGACGGTCAATCCCACTATTCGTTGGTAAAAGAGTAGCTCAGGAGTTGGCGGTGGATGATGATGACTAGCTGCCTTCCCTCTAGTCATACACTGCTACATTAGGGGACGGCTAGGACAGATAGCCCTTGTATAGCTTTGCGCGAAATTCAACAAACACGATCCCTTCGAAGCATATCAAAAAGGTTGTTCTGCGTCATAGAAAAGGAATCTCGTTAAATTTAACGAATGGTACATATTGTTACAGAGTAATCGCACAACGTAAACAAATCATTGGTTTTAAATTTTCAGTGTCTTTGTAGTTACGACATAGTAATAATACAACTATAAAAGAAGGTCATGCCATTGTTCAGAAACTGATGATTGAATATCTTGAGCGAGAGAAAGGGAGTTTATAGTGGTACTCATATTTATTACTTCATTAATCTTGATACATATAGGCCTGATACATGAAACCCGAGATAGTTATTTGAATACCTGTCACTTACTTTATTGAAGTATGATGTACTATTGAACATGCCTTTATTACCGGGCGAGCGACATCTACAATTTCAATTCCACTCATGTTTTTAAATAAAGGGGCGTTACCACGTGGGCGAGTTTCGTTTTTTTAGACTGCTTTAGGTGCAAGGACTAGCAAATGTAAGACTTTTGGTTCATGTAAATATTGAGTCCATACAGTTGCTGCTAGACATAAACAGAACGTTGATTTTATCGTATTTCCAGTCATTGTCTCAATAAAGCTTTATATATATTTATATACGGGAATTTTAATACAATCTTGAGCTATATAGAAGTAATCAATTTTACACATAACGAATCGAATAACAGCGCACATTTCTCAAGTCAGTTCTCGATTAAATCTTGCAAGTTTAAATACCCGTCAACTGACAGAGAATGTTTAAACTTAATTAAAACAATATAAGTTTCACAGCAATTATATGTTTCAAAGTAATAACTTGAACATACACTAGCAATCGATGTGTTCGACGGAAAACGAAGTTT